AGTAATGGATAAATGATCCAAACAGAAAAAGACAACAAGGAAATGTTAAGTGAACAATACTTTAACCCAAATCGAGTTTACATATATAGGCTCTTCCATCCAATAGAAGAATGCATAGTTTCCTTGAGTGCACATGGAACATTCTCCAGGATAGAACACATAATAAGACACAAAACAAAATTTCAGAGTGAAATCCTACTACATTTTCTGACCACAAGGCTATGAAACTAGAAATAAAGAAAAATCTAGAAAGTTTACAAGTATCTTGAAACTCAACAACAAACTTCTGAACAAGCATTGGGTCAAAGAAGAAATCAAAAGGGAAATCAGAAAGTTAAAACTAATAAAAATGGAACAACAACCTACCAAATCCTATGGGATCCTATGAAAGTAGTTCTGAGAGGAAAGTTTACATGGATACATTAAGAAATTAGATCTCAAACTACCCTAACACCTCAAGCAACTAGAAGAATAAATTAAACCTCAGTATCAAAAGGAAGGAAATAAGATCGGAGGGGAAATAAAAGAAATAGAGATCAGAAAAACAGGAAGGATCAATGAAACTAAGCTGTTCTTTTTTTCTTTAGTTTTTTGATGTTTATTTTTGAGAGAGAGAGAGAGGGAGGGAGGGAGGGAGGGAGACACAGAATCCAAAGCATGCCCTAGGCACAGAGCCTGACACAGGGTTCTAACTCTCGAGCCCTGAGATCAGGACCTGAGCCAAAGTTGGATGCCTAACTGACAGAGCCACTCAGGTGCCCATGGATAGTTGTTTGAAACAAAATTGGCAAACTTTGCCTAAATTTAAAAAAAGGCTCAAAATTAGAAATGGAAGAAGAGACATTATAACTGATACCACAGAAATATATATAATCATAAGAGGCTACTGTGAATGATTACAAGCCAACAGATTAGGTAATGTAGCAGACATAATTTCTAAAAACCCACAACCTATTAAGACAGAAACATGTGAACAAGCCAATAATGAGTAAAGGGATTAAACCACTTATCAAAAACCTCCCGACACAGAAAATCCCAGGAACAGATGGCTTCAATGGTGAATTCTACCCAACATTTAAAAAAGAATTAATGCCAATTTTTCTCAAACTCTTCAAAAAAAAAAATTGAAGAGGAGAAATACATCTAGTTTCCTACAGGACCAGTGTTACTTGATACCAAAGCCAGATATGGACACTACGATAAAAGATTACTATTAGAACAGTATTACTCAGGAAAATAAATGACAAAATTAACAAAATATCAGGATACTGAAATAAGACATGAATATTATACACCATGATCAAGTATGATTATACATCCTTTCAATTCAAGGATGATTCACTATACACAAATCTGTAAATGTAATACATCACATTAGTAGGAGACAGACATCACATGATCATTGACATAAATGCAAAATAAAACATTTGACAAAATATCACACCATTTCATGATAAAAAACCTTCAATGGATGGTGTGTGGAAGAAATATTCAACATAATAAAGGCCACATGTAACAAACTCACAGCAAACATTATATTCAATGTTGAAACAGGAAAAAGACGAGATTGCTTCCTCTGACCTCTCTTGTTCACTTTAGTACTGGAAATCCTCGGCGGAGCAATTAAAACAGGCAAAAATGTAAACCCTGAACAACCAACCAAACAAAAACATCCAAATAGGAAAGAAAGAATTAAAATTGTCACTATTTGCAGGGGATATTATTTTGTATATAAAAAACCTCAAAGACTCAACCAAAAAACTGGTGAAACTACTCAGCAATTTCAATGAAGTTTCAAGATTAAAAAAGTCAACATACAAAAATCAGTGATTTTTTTAAGTTTTATTTTGAGAGACAGTGAGCTGGGGAGGGTCAGAGAGAGGTGAGAGAGAGAGAGAGAGAGAGAGAGAGAGAGAATCCTAAGCAGGCTCCACACTGTCGGACACTTCAACAAGTGAGTCACCCAGGTGTCCCCCCAAATCAGTTGTTACTGTATACTAATAATGAAACTTCTGAAAACTAAAACTATCCCATTCACAAGAGCATGAAAAAAATAAAATACCTAGGAATAAATTTAACCAAGTAAGTGAAAGATCTGTATGATGAAAACTACAAAACTTAGTTGAAATAAATTGAAGTAGATACAAGAAATGGAAAAAAACAACAACCACCTGTGTTTAAGGATCAGAGAAATTCTATTACAATGGCCTTAGTCCCAAAGCTTTTTATAGACTTAATGTAATCTGTATCAAAATTCAAATGGCATTCTTCACATAAATAGAGAAATAAAACCACCAAGGACCCCAAATAGTCAAAGCAGTCCCAAGGATCAACAAAGATGAGTTATCACACCTCCTGATTTCAAGTCATACTACAAAGCTCTCATAATAAAAACAGATTACTATTGGCATAAAAAGACATGGACTAATGAAACAGAATATAGATCCTAGAATAAAACCCAGGCATATTCAGTCAACTAAGATTCAACAAGAAAGGAAAGAACACCCAATAGAGAAATGACAATCTCTTTAGATGATGTAGGAAAAACTGAACACGTGCAGAATGATGAAACTGGACCCTTATCTTACATTTAAAAATTTAACAAAAGAGGTCAAAGACTTACATATACAACCTGACACCATGAAACTCCTAGAAGAAAATATAGTCAAGATGCTATTTAACATTGGTTTTGGTAATGAGGTTTTGGATCTATCACCAAAACAACAATGGCAACCCAGTGAGATTATATCAAACTTAAGCTTCTGCATAGCAACAGAAGCAATCAACAAAATGAAATGGCAACATAGTAAATGGGAGAAGACTTTTTGCCAAACATGTATCAGATAGCACTTCAACATCCAAAATATATAAAGAACACACTCCATCTAATTATGGAATAGGCAGAGAAACAGACATCCCCCCCAAAAATATCCAAATGGCCAACAGGTACATGAAAAGACTTTCAACATAACTAACCATCAGGGAAATGCAACTCAAAACCATAGCGAAACACCACCTCATATCTGTTAGAATGGCTATAATCAAGAAGTAATGAATGTTGAGGAGAATTGGAGAAAAGGGAACCCTTGTACACTTGTTGGTAGAAATGATATTGGTTCAGCCACTATGGAAAACAATACTCAAGTTAGTTAAATATTAGCAATAGATCTGTGGGATTCAGGAATCCCACATCTGGGCACATACCTAAAGGAAATAAAAACAGTGTGTTAAAGAAATATACTCCTGTGTTAGTTGCAGGATTCTTCACAATAGCCAAGCTATGGAAATAACCTAAGTGCCCAATCAACAAAGGATTATAAAGATGTGAGATTATATTATATTATATGGCCATAAGAAAGAACATCCTGCCATTTATAACAACATGGATGGATCCTGAGGATATTACACTAAATGAGAAGTCAGATAGAGAAAGGCAAATACTGTAGGTTATCACTTGTATGTGGAGTTTAAAGAAATCAAACTTATAAAAACAGAGTAGATGGGGTTTACTAGGAGATAAAGGGTTGGGGGTGAGGGAATAGCACACATGTTATTAAGCTGTGCCAATTTGCAACAAGTAGTGAATAAGTCCTAGAGGTTTAATGCACCCTATAGTGAATATACACACCTATAATTATGTTATAATCAAATTGCTAAAAGACCAGAACTTAATTATTCCAACCACTAAAAAGAAATGATAATTTTGTAATGGGATAGTGGTGCTAATTATCACTGCAATGACAATCACATCTCTATAAAAGTCCATGAAATTAACATGTTGTATACCTTAAAGGTATACAACATTGTAAGTCAAACATTTCAATGGGAAAAAGGAAATGCAATTTGTAGAAAACATTGTATTTGCGAGTATATGTATGTGTGTGTATACATATATACATACATAACTGGAAAAAACAAAGATTAGAGTAAATGAGCTTTGGCTTCCTTAAAATGGGTCCACAACTTGCTTGTGAGGGGTTTAAAGTTTCTACGAGTCAAATCACTGAAGAAAATTTTATAAAGTAACCCAGGAAGCAGAGCAATGATTTCACCAATTAAAAAGTATTAAACCTTAAGTTGCATTCATATAATGGTATGGACTTATCTTACGATAGGCTAATGCATTGGGAATGAAGACAAACTCTCGTTTACCTGACTTCTAGGTCAGAACTCAATCACCTCAATAATTTCTAGTATTATTGAGGAAGCTTATTAGAACACAGGGCTTTGACGACAGAGGCCAAACTCTTTCATCCTCCCCCAGCTTGACTTCTCTTTCATACCCTCTGTAAAATTCCTAATGTTTTTAGTCTTTAAAAAAATAATAAAATAAAAAGCCACAAGCTAGAGTATGAAATACATAGACTCCATTGTAATCTTTAGTCTCAGGCCACCCTACCCCCTATTAACGTTTACCCCAACTGTTTTTAATCTCATTCTTTAACCCATTCACCGCTATCTTTCAAATTCTCCCAAGATTCAAAAAAGACAGTCTTCCTAATTTACAGCTCACAGAACTCTCCTAGATTGCCTATGTTTTCTTCCTACAGTTTTATTCTATAAATTGAGATATACTTATATATTACATGGTAAATCATTTTAAAATCAACATTTTAATTGGTATTTTGTCAACTAACTTAGAAGAAATTCAAAGCCTGATGCTTTTTCTATGTATGATTAGAGCACCAAAACATACTCCAAGATGTATTTTTTTTTTAAAATATGGCTTTTTCATTGAAATAGAGCAACTGTACTTATCCACAGTTAATCAAGTGGCCAAAGGTAAAGTATAGAGTGAGGGGAATTCAGGATCCAAAAGAATCACATTCCAATCAGTAAGATATGGATCTATATGCATTCCAAATGCCTGTATTTTATGAAAGGCTGTGTTATTGACCAAGGGGAACTAAACAATTATTAAAGAACAAAGCTGCTAATTCTAGACTGTGGATACATCTCTGGGTCTGTTCCCATCTGTTACTTCTCATCCGTCTCCTTACCAGAGCTGCTGCAGTATGAGGGATCAACAGGTCTTCCATTTTTATCAGAGCAGGCTATTGCTCGAAAGCGCATGCCTTTTCCACATTCTTTCCTTTCTCCTTGTACCCGAAATCCTCCTCGTTGAGTCTCCCTTCTACCTTCTGGAAGAATGCAATCTGACCAGTTTCCATAAGGTTGAGATATAAATACACCACAGGGGCATAGTTCTGTTTCCACAAGAGGGTACAGGTCAGAGTCCTGGCATTTCTCTTTCTTCCTGCTTTTCCCTGTTCCAAAAAGAGACATTGCTATATTAATCTCACATCTGTTTTGTTAAAAAGTCACATTATTGTCTTTACTATCTTAGAAAATTTAATCTTACGCATATCTTTCCACTGCCCTCCCTGACTCTTTATTGTGAAGAAAGTAAATCTTAGGACAATGAAAACAATTCTCAAACCAACTGTGAAAGTCACGGTATCCTGGGGAAAAAAATTAAAAATCGTTTTATGTTGGAAAGTGGCAAAAAAAGAAAAAAAAGATGCTTGCTACAGTGACTCAACAGCTAGAAAATTTTTGTGAACTCATTTAGTTGGATTTTCTAACTTGTTGATAAGAACAAGCATATTACCTTGTCTGAGTCTTCTTGGAATTAATGGTCTCCAGGGAAACAAACATAAACCATAAACACCCCTCTCTTCTTGAAGTACATTTTTGAAAAAAGCTTATTCAAAGAACAAAAGGATACCCTCCCATACAATGGCTCTGGAGTGAGGTTAGGGGTCACTCCAGGTATGGCAGACAAAGCAGAACTTATTTTGGTCCTTGCCATCAAGTAGCTCACAAATGCTGACACAATAAAATGAAATAAATGCTCCAATAATGTTGGGTAATTTAATCTGAGAAAAAGCCATGGCTTCCATTTTGAGAGACTATTTTAACTCAAATATTCTAGAATATGACTTTGCCTTACCAACTGACTTTGATGGACCTTTTAGCTGTGATGCTGTCTTTGAGTCATGAGAATACAGAATCAATTCTTACTGCTGAGTACTTGATCATTATGTTTAATGGGGTTTCAAGTCAGCCTGTAACTTGATTCAACTTTTTGGCTAACACACTGCCATTGGACTCCTAAAAATTCTCAAATAGATCTAATAATTATATTTTGTTTCCTCATTAATAAGTCATCAGCTAGAGTCTTGGCTGGCTATAGAAAAATGAAGTATGCTAATTTACTGGTCTTATTCCCAGTCTTTATAGCTATTTTAGAAATGCTTTATACAAGCTGATGCATAGGATATTTTCTCATTGTCAAATAGTTTATGTAATTTTACAGTTGCTGTTGGAGGATTGGCTCTAAGGTCAGACATGCTGCTTATGGCCACAATAAATAAGGATTCCTGCAGGACCTGAAATGATCTTGCAGGAGCTTCAGCTGCGCCACTCTCTCTCTGGGAGGATGCAATCATTTCCTCTATCATTAGGGGCACTTGAGAAGAGTAAGTTTGAGAAACACAGCTTCTTCTATTGTGGCTCTGAGAAATAACTGGTTGAGAGATACAAAGAAACCAGTCACTAGGTTCTCTTCTTTTCTGATCCATTATCTTTACCTATAGGAAAAGTGTAACTTTTTAAATGTTTATTGATTTTTGAGGGGAGAGGAGAGGGAGAGGAAAGAGGAGAGGAGAGAAAGAGAGCAAGCATGAGTAGGGGAGGGGCAGAGCAAAAGGGAGATAGAGCACTTGAAGCAGGCTCTAGGTTCCAGGCTGTCAGCACAGAGCCTGATGCAGACCTCAAATCCACAGACCATGACCTGAGTCAAAGTCAGATGCTTTACCGACTGAACCACCCAGGCGCCCCACCTACAGAGTTGAATTCCTTATTATCTCCACTCTAGATTTCTTGCTCAAGCTTCTGAGCCACAGACTGGAACTTTAAGGGACAATCAAACTCAACCTTGCAAAACCCATCCTCAAGCTTTTCACAGCAGGACCTTCCTTTCTGCATCTTCATTTACCAAGTATACCAAGTGTAAAATGTCAGACTTGAAATCTGTTGCACTATCTGGCTACCTGTATCTGCTTAATGACAAAGATCATTTCAAAGGACTCTTGAAACCAGTGCATTGTTGCCATTCTGACCAATGCCACCCTTATTTAGCCCACCTCCAGATTTCCAGTTTAAATCATCACACAGCTTCTAATCTCTGATACCTCATTTTCCTTTCAATCTTCTCCTCACACTGCAGCTAGAACCAGCTCACAAAGATGGAAGTCTGATCTCATTTATCTACTTAAAAGGCTTCAGTGACTTACCATAGTTCATAGAATGAAGTCTAGGCTCCTTGGCATGGTCATCAAGGACCTCAAGTGTCTGATCCCATTAGCACCTCTCCTGCCTATGTGGTGCCACTCTGCCTCTGTCACTTCACAAGCTAGACACAAGCACCTTTCAGTTCCTAGAAATTACTCATTGATTTCTGGCCTTTGCATTTCTTACACCAGAAATTTTCCTAGATTCCAACTTCCCCCCATAGACTAGTTAATGTTTACTTGTCCTTCCTTTCTGGCAGGGGTAATTTATTAGTTACCCCTGGAAAAGGTACTCTTCTGTAGTTCTATTCTGTCTACCACAAGCTATGCCTTTCCAAGGGTGATCACATCCCAGGTCTTATAATTATGCTACCTTAGATGGTAAAATGGACTGTGTAGATGTGACTAAGTTTATTGACCTTGGGATGAGATTATTCTGGATTATCTGGGTGGGTCCAACCTAATCACATGGTAGAGAATCTTTGTTAAATCAGAGGCCAAATGCTCAGAGACACACCATGTTACTGAATTTCAAGATGGAAGAGGAGAGTCTCATGAGCCAAGAAATGTTGACAGCCTCTAGAAGCTAGAAAAAAGGAAGTAAAATTTCCCTAGAGCATCCAGAAAGGCATGCAGTTCCACCATTTTGTTTTCAGTCTGCTGATACACGTTTATTTTAGATACAATTCAAGTCACAAATTTGTGTTCTTTTTAAGCCACTACATTTGTGGTAATTTGTGACATTAGCATTAAGAAACTCATAGCACTAATATAACAACTATTTTCAAAAGTAGTATACTGTGTTGTAACTGTAATAAAATCTCTCTCTCTCATTACAGTGTAAGCTCTTCAATTAAGATCATGTCTACCTATTCCCTAGTAGTATTCCCAAGGCCGAGCACATGTAAGTAGTCAAGAAAACTGCTCATTAAGAAAAGGTTTAAAGAAGGTAGAGTCGGGAAGAAAGAAGACAAAAGGATACAGGGAGAGCAAGAGAGAGGAAGAAGAAAAATATTAATCTACAAGGCAACCAAGAGTTGCTGGCAGAGTATTTTGTATGAATACATGCCATCTCTGTATTTGGGATATCCTTAATTATGTGGCACCACTGTTTAAACAAAGACTGGAGTAAATTCATACAGAAACGGTTCTTAAAATGAGAAATTATCACCAGTCCTTTACTTTGGTTACATTATAGTCAACAATGTTAACTTTTGGATTCAAAACTAGTTAGTACTAAAAACAAAAAAGAAAAAACACACTACCACCAACCACCACCACCACAAAGGAACAAAAAAGCCTATCAAGACTACCAGTCCCTAATACAACTGTAAAGTTATTTTTCCACACTTAAGTCAGAAGGAAATGTGTGACTGTTCTCACAAGACATAAAACTATAAGAATATATTAAATGTGTTCTTTATCCAGTTATTTTCTATATTAATAACCTGAACAAACCTACTTAATGGATTATTTTCAGCACTGTATCAACAACAGATATAAATACCATTCAATCTAAAACCTATGATGATCCTGTTTAGGTACAATACCCAGGACTTTCAGATATTGAATTAAAGCCTCTTGTTAAAAATGGAAAAAAAAAAAAAAAAAGAAAAATACCCTAGATGGTCCCTTATAATATGCAGTGGCTTGTATTATTGTATGCTTCTCCATGTTTATCTGTGTTAAAGACAGTCCCATAGTCTTATAGTCTAACCCCATGCCTTTTACTACCATTCATGTTAGAGATTACTTCAGTTTACCAAATTACATGAGAAACCAAAAGGCAAGCATAGTACAACAATAAAAGTCTTAAGAAGTGATGAATTTCAATTCTTACTGCCCCTCCACACCTAATACCTGATTGGTTTTCCCCCTAAAACTCCTGTGTTTCATAAAATTGTCCAGTTGTTTCCAAGATGTGAAGACACACAAATGTCAATTAGCAAGCAAAAAGCATAGTCAATAAAGAAAAATTCTCAATAGATTTTTAGTATGAGTAATTCTTAGAATAGAATTTACAGAAAAGCATACAGTGGCTTTTCCAATATTTAATAAGTTTATTTTATGTGAGTCAAGTGTGTTACTTTTGACAATTTATAACAAACTTCACTATCTTAATAAATACCATGGGATTTTCAATATTCCCTTTTTCAATTTGCAGGTATAAAATATCAGGAGTAAACCCTCAAGAAAAAAGAAAAGACAAAACTGGCCACTAATGAAAAATGTCCTTTTCCTGAAAAGAAAATTCTCACGTCAAAGACAAAGAAAATTGCCAGGATGATGGCTTCTGAAGCCCTACGTATGAACGTGCCCACCAAGTTTTACTGGTACACCTGAACTTGAAGTTATTCCTGTCACATACAGGGAATATAATGTAGTGGAATGTAAGAATTTTTTCATCTTAGAAACACAAGCAATGCCACATAAAGTTATATATGACAGAGTTTTGTAGAAGAGAGCACTAAGTTCACCATACTTTGTTGTTTCTATTTGATTATACATTTCACCTAAACTTATGAATGGGCTCGCGGGTTATGTGCAAAAACCCTGTTAAAGGTTCTCATCAATTAAGTAGATCCATTAGAGGGAGTTAAATTAATCTTGTAAGCAATGCATTCAAACAAAGGGTATTTGAAACCAAGAGAATTAGTCTTTGAATTGCTTATAAGAACAAATGGTCTTCTATGCCTAATTCTTCAATGTCAACACCAATTTTATTATCCCAGTGATTATTTCGGCATTTTTCCTTTGGGTCTTCATTACCTAAATTAAGTTTTTCTGGATATACAAATACAACTACAAGAAATTCTGGGGTTATTTATCTAAACTAGCAGTACAGTATGCATCAATTATTTGTATATTACAAGAAAAAATCACTCCAGCACCTTGATTAAACTATTAATTGCTTTAATTTCCATTAAACTTCATGGATGCTAACAGAACCAAAATAATATACCACAAAAGCAGAACCTGTATGTAATTTGACTTTTATCTTGCACTAATAAAATTTTAAAGTGTAAGATTGCTTGTAAGGTAATGGCCAAATGATACAGGTTAGATCTGCCATTGATATGTTTTATACATCAGTCACGGATTTCAATCTTGCTGAGATTCTGATGTGACAAAACACCAGAATCTCTGCCATTAACTATTCCAAGCTAGCTGGCGGCAATGCTGCCATGTAAGACTTTTATAAGGATTATATGTTCTACATAGGGAACTTCATAGCTATAGAATGGTCCTTATCATTTCACAAATATTGAGTAGATATTATGTGACAGAAATAGGCACAGAAGATACATAGTCAGGAAAGAGCAGAGAAAGGGAGAGACCGGATACGTTTCTAGTCCTTCTGGAGCTTCCATCTTCTGGGGCAGGTTCAGGAGCACATCTGTTGCCTGAAGCTAAGAAATCAAAAGTACACCCTACCTGAGAGCAGTCGCGGACCCTACCTGAGAGCTGTCGCCGTCGACTTCGGGTTGTGTCACAATCTGTGGAACAGGGTGTAAACTTGGACCAAACGGTGAAGGTGCAGTCATCGCGACATGGGACCGTGCATTCCTGCACAAGGGGAGGCATGCCATTTGTCTGCTTGAGGCATTCCATCATTTCTGCTGACTGGTTATCATCAGAGATGCAGGAGACCGCTTTACAAGAAGAAAAAAAAAAAAACACAACAACACATGGATTCTTTTGTTATTTTGATTCAATCAGTCTGCTGCTGGTTCTTCGACAAAATGGCAGAATACCCCAGTGTTAGAAAATTTGGTCATCACTGTGACTATAAAAGGTGTTTAACATAGCTAACCTTATTTCTCTCTGGAAATTAAACGTTTACCATTGCCAGTGGAGGTATTTGAGGATTTAATTGCTTTCATTATTAATCCAATTTGGTTACACTGACAGCAACCAAAATAACTTTCAGTAATTTATTGTACATGAGCTTGTGCATATCTGATCTTGAGGGATGATCTGAAACTAGGAAAGAATGTGTAAGCTTAATAGAGGACAAAGAAGTACAAATCCATTAAAATCATGTGAATTCTTCCTAGATTTAATTTACTTTGCTGGTTTAAATGGCACTTATGGAAATGGTCCTATTTTCACTTCACAACCAGTTGATTAAGTGTCTGACTTTGGCTCAGGTTATGAGTTTGAGTCCTGAGTCAGGCTCTCTGCTGTCAGTGCAGCACCGGCTTCAGATCTTCTGTCCCTCTCTTTGGACCTCTCCTGCTCACACTCACTTTCTCAACAATAACCATTAAAAAACTAATAAAAAATTGTATTAGTAAACTTTCCCTTGTTAACATTTCAGGATCAACAAAAAATTTTCAATACTTTTTCTTCCAAGTATAGGCATCATCTCTCTAGGTAATTCCCATTACAGATACCTTATCAATTGCATATTTCTTTTTCATTCAGAGTTTTTCGAAAAGAATATCTCTAGTCATACCTTAAAAATAACCAATAATCTTAAGCAAAATTTCATAAATGCTTTACTTCAGTCCTGTGTTTGATTCTTTGAACTAGTGACATTTTATTCAATTATAAAGGATATTTTTGTGCATTTTTTATTCACCCTAATTATGGACCCTCTAGGATTTGGTCTGTATTCTCTAGACCAGTAGCTTGCAACCTTGTCACTATTGACATTTTGGGTTACATACTTTGAGTAGACCTGCGTTTCTTGTGCACTGTAAGATACTTAACAGCATCCCTGGCTTCTACCTATTAGATGCCAGCAGCACACACATCCTGCCGGTTGTGAAAACCACAAGTTCTAGACATTACCAAATGGTGAAAACTACACTTCTAAGAGGATTCCTAGCCATTGAGGTTTAAGACAATACAAAGACTCTATGGCATGCCTTCAGATCTACTGCAACAGCATCTCTGAGGAAAAAAAATTCTAGGAATATCTTTGCCTTTAAGTTCCCCAGGTGGTTCTGATGCAGCCTGTCCACTAATAACCTATGTTTGGTGTTGTGCCTGTGGATATTGTGCATGTTACTGGATGTTTGCTGAATTCATCATCCTAAAGAAATCATGGTTTAGAATCATTTTTATTACAACTCTAAAATCCACCAAGTTAAAAGCAATAAACTTACCACTGCTTAGGATCAACATTGTTTTGCTGTTTTTTTTTTTTAATTTTTTTAATGGTTTTTTTAAATTTTATTTATTTATTTATTTATTTATTTATTTCTAGGAGAAAGAGACAGCATGAGCAGGGAAGGGTCAGAGAAAGAGGGAAACACAGACTCTGAAACAGGTTCCAGGCCCTGAGCTGGCAGTCAGCACAGAGCCCGACGCGGGGCTCGAACCCACAAACCGCGAGATCATGACCTAAGCGAAAGTCCGACGCTTAACTGACTAAGCCACCCAGGTGCCCCAGGATCAACACTGTTAAGAACACTTTATATAGAAACTTACATAATGCAGGCTAAGTGTACATAGGAGTTCCATTAGTGGCCCATTCTTCTTATATTCTGAATTCCTTTCATTATTCTGAGCACAGAACAATTCAACTGGAGTATTTTTCTTTTTTTTTAAAGTAACTGAAAACCAAACCCATTGAATGCTTTAGGACCAAGACATTAGCTAAGATGATAATGGATGCCACACAATACTTCCCTGTTTGTACGTCGGCTCTGTGGTCATTCACAGATTTTGAATAATTTTTGCTTTTGTTTTTTTATTAGCATCCTAGGAACAAAATCCACTGCACAAAGCCAACTTCACCTGTGTTTGTTCTATTGGGACTATTATAGTCATTAATGATGAATACACCAACATACTTTATCTTAGGTCAGGTACAGGCAAATGTTACTGGAATTGCATGTTTAAATAACTAATCTGCAGTCAATTTAGGGGACTTTTATCTTGCCAAGGTATTTTTTTCTCTTTTCTTAACAATGCACTGTTTAACATCAAGAGGATATTTAAATACTTTAAAAAGCATTGCTATATGAAATCTGAACTTCTATGTATATACCAATCAAGTATTTTTTCCAATAAAGGTTTTTAAGATAATTTTCCATGTAAGTTTATAATTTGACAACTATGATAAACATTCATTGATACTTTGAAATTCTACAAACTACATTAACAAATGCTAGATTTATGAATGTCTATATTGAACTATTTTGCATTAATGAAAAAGCATTAAAAATTTTAAAAATGGCTCAAACATGTGATATAATTCAAATGGTATGAAAGCGAATTCCAAATCCAAACATCCTGAACTAAGTTCCTTAATCTTTATGCTTAGACTCCTAATCTTTATAATGATAAGATCTCTATAACAAAGAGTTGTGAGAAATCTATCAACAGTATCTCTTGTACACTAAGGGTTCAATAAATGCTATCAATTATAATCTTTAATTTTAAAAATTTTTTAAAAAGTTAGAGCAATCAAGCAGGCTGATAGTTCTCGTCACAGGTAAACATGTACACTCTATCATTCTCCATGGCTCACTTCTTCCTGGGTCATTCTCAAAGCCTGAGGGATGACAGAGAAAGCCATAGTTGAATCTCACAGGATTCTGCCACTACACTTTAAAGTCACCATGAGTCAGTTTGTCAAATTTGTCCATTTTAACTGGGATAGGTAGAACAAATCAGTTCCATTGTTCCTATACAAATAGGTGTATTAGAGTAATCTAACGGAAAAATTACAGAGCTCTATGGGCCAAAGAAAACATCCACAGTTGTAGCATGAAGTTTGATGACACTCATATTAACCTCAAGATCCCTGCTGTGTGTTATTACTGATGGTCTATCAACTCAAAGATGAGTGGCAACTGACACACTACAGATCATACAATCATCAGCATAGGCCAGGCATTATTGTTTTCTGATTTCTCCAAGTTCAAGATTCTAATTTCTTTTCAGGGCACCTGGGTGGCTCAGTCGGTTAAGCATCCGACTTCGACTCAGGTCATGATTTCACAGTTCGTGGGTTCAAGTCCCGTGTCGGGCTCTGTGCTGACAGCTATCTCAGAGCCTGGAGCCTGCTTCACATTCTGTATCTCCCTCTCTCTCTCTGACCCTCCCCTGCTCATGCTGCCTGCCTGCCTCTCTGTCTCTCTCTCTGTCTCTCTCTCTCTGTCAGAAATAAATAAAACATTAATTTTTTTAAAAGATTCTAATTTCTTTTCAAGTGTGAAAAACAAAATCACCCAACACCAAACCATAAACGTGTATTTACTTCTTGTTAATGTTATAGGAGAAGATTTATTATTAAATACACATTGATTTGATTGTTGGATACTGAACTATACTAGTGGGTAGGAAATTACTGAAGAAAAATTAAGCACCAAGTCTGTAGGACTGGAAAACCAGGAAATGACAGAGAAGATATTTAGAGTAAATGAGGAGAACTAGTAGTTAGTGGTACAATCCAATTTAGAGCCACCTACTATTAGGCCAACTCCTAGGGAAAAGCTGTTTTTTAGATGTGTTAACCATTTTAAATCTACACTGTAGTTCTTAGTCATTACACGTATGTAGATTCCTTAGTCACAGAACTTCTTTTGAGAAATAAAACTGAGTTAGCAAAGTGTACTGATAAAATTTTAAGCCCTGGTGTCAAACTGAACTAAGAGTGACTAGTTTTTGTTATTGTTTGTTACCTTGGGAAAGTTATGTCAACTCTCTGAAGACTCAACTAACTCTCCTATATAATGAGCAGGAGAATACTTACACTATATAATAAATTGATGCAGATGAGGGACTTAGCACAGTAATGAAGAATTTGGTACATGCGACTGGAGAGTGATCTAATTTTATAATGAAGTTTACTGGAAATAAAAACCTAACAAGCATCAAGAAAGAAGAATCAACCATTACTTGCCTTGGTTCAGAAGAATTTTCCAAATCCTACCAATTAGTCTTGACCCCTAAGCAGGGTATCTGGGGCCTGTTTGGATTTACAATGTTGAGGTCAGTAGCCTCTTCCCAAGACTGCATGGCTCTCCCAAGGACATTGTCTGTTAGACTTCCAAGTGATGCTCTGTGTATTCTGTTCACGGTTTACAAAAATGAGGCTTATAAGCTACCATAGGAGATCAGAAATGCAGAGAAAGAAATAGATCCAAGGCCTGTTGGGAATTTCTTCCAGAAGCACCAAGATCAAAATCCTTAACTCTTGAAGAGTTTCATGGGAGGACAGTGAACATTTGCACAGAAGAGTTCTGGCCATATCTGCAGCTTTATACCTCACTCACTGAGGTGGTCCTATCCAGCACAGACAGCTGCCATGCCTCTCTATGCTAAAGCTGAATTCTAACATCTAATATTTACGGGCATTTGTCAAATTTTTCTGACCATTAGAACCATTACAGCTTCATTTCTAATAAGGAGAGGAGTGAGATAAGGCAGAAAAAAATAGCTCATCCCCTAAGATCAGGAATACATCTTAAAGTCATTTTTTTTACTTCTACAGTGGTCTAAACATTAGACTGCATTTATATACCTGGATCTTTATTACCAACACTTTGTTCCCTGTTGATCTTATTGAATTTGATCCATCCATTCATCCATGCATCTATCCAGTCACAATATATAAGCAACTATGAACAATTATAAAAGCATTGTATTTACACATACGTGTGCACGTACATATAAATAATCTGGCTTCTGGGAG